CAATGAAAAAATGATGTCTCAAATTTCACGAAAGCCACAAAAAAGATAACATTGTTGTAAGACAAATAATGACTAATTTATCAATACAAAAGATTGAGTTCAATAATTATTGGAATATGTCTTAATAAATATATTTTAATATGTAAACAAATGTTAGTGATTGGTATTTGTTATAATCATCAACCAACAATAACAATATGAAGTATGCTCCTTTAATAAGCATTGCAAGAATATATTTAAAAAGGTCAGTTTGTGAATCTTCTTCAAATATAAATGTATGTGAACAAGTCAAAGATAACATTTTTTTAATGTTTTAAATTTAAATTTAAACAAGAAAGAACACATCTGAAATGACCCTGTAACAAACGTGATTGGCCCACGGACTATGCTTTACTTTGCTATATTTAATAGCCAAGGTTTTGGGGTGAGGTGAGAGAATGTGTGAGTGAGTGTCATGTCGCTTCAGCAATACTTCAGCAATTTGGTGGCGGAGTACACAATGTGTGAGTCACGCCATTTCAGCAATACTTCAGCAATGTGTTGGCGGAGTACACAATGTGTGAGTGTCACTCCGCTTCAGCAATGTGGTGGAGTACACAATGTGTCAGTCACGCCATTTCAGCAATACTTCAGCAATGTGTTGGCGGAGTACACAATGTGTGAGTATCATGTCGCTTCAGCAATACTTCAGCAATGTGGTGGCAGAGTACATAATGTGTGAGTGTCATGTCGCTTCAGCAATACTTCAGCAATGTGGTGGGGGAGTACACAATGTGAAAAGGTTGTGAGATAAATGGAGATGACGCAAGTGCAAAATGTTGTGAAACATTCCCAGTTTTGTACTATATAAATTTTGACTGTGACATAAGGATTTGAACCTGGACCAGCAGGATCCGACGACTGAGTGGCACAACGGTGCATGTCGGACTAAAGCACCATAGACACACATAAGGTGAGTGAGTGAGCTAGGTTTAACACCACTTAGTACAGTATTTCAGATATATCACGACCTGTTAGGGAAAAGCCGAAATCGACGCAGGCCAATACTCTGGTGAGAGCCACAAGACGGTTTAGTGGTGACAGACCCAGCAAAATAGTCATAGTGGACCAAGGAATCGAACCCATGATCAACTGATCCTGTCAAAGGTAAGGGAAGTAACTACAAGTATGCACCTTAATGTGCGGTGCCTTAAACGGTCACTTGGCAAAGCTTTATATCAGCTGCAAAGTACACCACAACAAAGAATTACATTCCTAAATGTGACTTCATCATATCAGCAGAATACACACTCAAAATACACGGAAGCAGATTCACACAAACTATTTTCAGAGATTACAATATTCAATTAAGATCACATTTATAGAATCTGTAGGCACTTGAAATATATACAATATGCAAAATACAAAATAAGAATGGATTTCATCATTCACAAAACGCCCATCAGAAACTTCCGTCATCAGTGGACATCGTTGTTGAGAAGGTATAAACAAGTTACGTCTAAAAGATGGAATGTGTTCATAATCAACAAGGTCCACATAGGCAATGTAACTCAATCTCACTGAAATCAGATCTTAGTTCTGGCTACCGCTAAACCAATGTAGCAGGGCTTGCAACCAACTTGCTTACGGGGCTAACCTCTTCGGTCATGTGGACAAGACGTCCGATCTCTGATCAGAAGGTCCGTGGTTCGAATCCCATCACGGGACTAGGAAAGTTTATTGCCGCTACAGAAAGATCTGAGGTCACTAGATAACGGGTCACGTCAGAACGACCTTTCATCCGACCAATCAGGGCGTCGATAACCAGATTGGGAAATCGACAGACGGAATATATTTTCCAATCATGCAACCTCGTAAAGGTAATTACACGGGGTACTTCGAAAGACAGTTACGGGCTGTACGTCTATCTTTCGTTTCAGTTAGAAAAAAACCCATTTGAAACGGAAGAGACTTTCTATAGACATTCCAGAATTGTCTTTTGTTCCTTTTTCAAATTTTCAATCGATAATATTTCAAAGCGTAGTCAGGAATGGAAGTCGCCATTTTGAAACAATCGCCGTAAAGCTCGAAAAAGCTTTTTTTCTGATTGGCTGATATGGACTTCTTTTTAGTCATTTCATTTGTCGGTCACAGTTCGCGAAAGGTCGATCTGACGTGACCCGTAATGGGATGTCCTCATATATTTAGCAGTAGCGGGAACCGATCTGATTTTATTGAGATAACTGTAACCTTGCTTCTACTTCCACTTCATGGGTTTGTATGCACGACGTTTTCCCATCACCCTTGAATACACACGGCGACGTCACGTGTGTTTTAGTTAAGTAATGATGTGAGACTTTGTACAACTCAAGTCTAATGAGCCCTCCTCCATGCATGAACTTTGTGCTAACCTACGGTTGCCATCTTCCCGAGACAAGAAAGTTAACTGACTGAAAAAGCCCCGTTTCCACCCTTGCCGAACTAGGCTGGAATTTCTGTGCTCGATCGAAGTCCCACCAGTGGCTATTACGAGTTATGTCCCTTCTATGCCCGTCTATTGACCAATCAGATTCCACCTCTCATATCACTTGCATTTGCTTCAAACAAATTGGCGGCGCCCAGTCAAGACGATCAGATCGATTCTCAAAATCTATATCGTGATTTAATCAGGCGAGCTGTTGACGCCGAGTTGGCGGTACACATGCTTAGCAAATCCTGCAATCGACCGAAATCTGTACGGCAGTTGACGAACCTGTCGATTTCGTCACGCAATTTTGATTGGACTATGCATAGACTCGTTAGTCCAGCCAAAACATAAATTCCCTAATTCCAGCCTAAGTCGGAGTTTCAAGGATGGAAACTGGACTTTTATAGTTAGTTAACTCCCTGGACTCGGGGAGATGACGGTTGGCTGATATTGAAGCGATAACCAGGCCATGGCTTGACTCGTTGGTGAAACATAGTGACTAAACAGGAGCTGGGGTGTGTATTCTTGGTGATGGAAAGACACGAGGAACGTGGTACATACAAACCTGTGAAGTACTGACAACAACATGCTACCCCGTGTAGTGTTTCTATCTACGTATGTACACAGTTTGATCTGAATTCTGGGTGTTCGGGTGCTAGAATGATAAAAATACACTGAAATCTAAATGTCCATTCGTCAATATGTAAGAGCAACCACATAACCAGGTCCTCTCAAGACACATACTGATTTTATACCCGAAAAAACAGTTAATGGTATGACATAAAAAGTGTATTATCTCTGTGTACTAAGTAACGGGGCCTATATTTATATGGTCGAAGAGTGTCTTTCATATTAATGCAGTCTTACCATCAGGGTCGAGAGATTCTTATTATATATTGTTTCTTTGTTTGTTATTCAAAGCCGCACTCAGAATTATTAGTCTGAAGTCCACTACTGTACATACTGTCCATACAAACACCTTCTACAATGGTTCGGCGAATGTTTTCAGCTCAGTAAAGTTTTCATAACGTTTGGTCAAATCCAATTTTCAAGTGTATACTTTCTTTTGCTGGGCAGATTATATGACGGCGATCTGTCAACAATCGAGTCTGGACACGCTAATCCAGTGATTGACATCATGAGCATCGATCTACGAAATTGGGATACGATGACCTGCCACCGAGCCTGACCACCAGATCCCGTTAGTCGCCTTCGCCAAGAATAGTTGCTTCTTATGACAAGCATGGATGGCTGGAGGCCTACTCTACCCCGGATCTTCACGGGTCGTGTGACTATGAAAACAGTCAGCTATTCATGAACAACCCCCAGATGGAAAAGATATCCCGAGAGGGTTTCAGAGAAGCATACTCGGTGATTTGGTTGAGAGCGTGTCATCAAGCGAGGAATATTGCTCGTATCAGTCACTGGATTGTCTCCTCCAGACTCTAATATTTACAGACCGCCGTCATGGAGCTGAGTTTGGCGATAAACTTCAAACAAACAAACCCCGGACCCTGTGATTTGGTAGAAACTGTCAGGCAACAGAGGCTATCATACCACGTGATTTAGTGGCATCAATGGCCACGTGACCATTATTGGACATCTCTGAAGTCTCATAAATCGTCAGTAACTGCAGACTCCGGGCGTCTATCAGACTTCACCTAACACCGATAAAGTGCCACCCTATCTCACAGACCATTGCCAGATCCATTCACCTCTTTGATGTTTCATTTTCTGCAACGGTTGAGCTCAGAGGCATTAGGTGTGTCAGTGTTAGCAATAGAACGGCTGCGTCCAATCTCCTCTACAGATCAGAAGTTCAAGTTGCCCCAAACAGCCTCGTGTTGCCCACAGTAAAGGGGACGTGAGCTGGACAGTGGAAGGAAGGTAGCATGCCATCACTGTCAAATGATATTTGTGCAGGAAACATTTAGATTGAGTATTTAGACACTGTCTGCTACATGTACCATTGGGAAATCAAGAAAGGCCAAACGCATAGAACAAAGGGCTTTGTACACATGTTTTGATGAAACATATGCTCGTTCTCTTTTCCCTTTACCACTCAGTGACTGAGGAGTCACCAGCCAGTGACGCACACAGCTGCGTGGGTTTAATACTTAAAGGGGGACTCTGCTCTAATGTCTGGAGCCCGTATTCAATATAGACCGAGACGTTACAATTAGTGCTTGGAGTGAAACTGAAAAGGTATCTCGTTGTCATTGGGGTAATCATTAACTATTAGATCTATACACAGAGCTACAGGTAAGCAGCGTATTTGTGTAAAATACCCCCCAAAATATTCAAAACCCAATTACTGTCAATTAACTTGCGTAAAGAAACGCATGAATTAAAAGATAATCTCAAATGTATAAAAACAGCTCGCGTAAATACCCAATGAAGCTTTTTCAGCATGCGTACAAAGGAGCTAATTTCCGAAACACAATTACGAGCTAATTCACTTTCCGAGTCAAGCCTATATATTAAGAACAGTTATATACATCTAAAATATTATTTTATTTTTTTTAAATCTTAAAATGTATACCAATTTTGGGAAAAACCCAATAGAGTGATGTATTGATGAGTGAAAAAATATTGGTTACCCAATGACAAATGTAATAACAGAATTAAAATAGAAACCCTAGAGTAAAAACTCAATTGCTCAAAACGTTATCAGGAGCTCTGTATAAACATCGTAAACTTTCAGCTAGCAGGCAGATAACCAATGTGTGGGAGGCTTGAATCAAACCCGCTGATGACTGCCAGTTTGTCAGAGTCTAGTTCCCCTTTAAGACCTGGTAATACGGCATTGGGATCCAGCGATAACAATTTGTCTGAACCTCACAGCCAACCTCAAAATTATGTTAGGTTGTCCGCACCTTTACAAAAGTAACCCGATCAGCTATACAGTGTGTAAGTGTCCCTAGATTTATAATTGGAGGAAACTATGGAGCGACACCCAAAGGTTGGAAGATCTAAAGTAACACGTGACCTGAAGATCACAATGGATTCCCTTTGTGCACAGGGTACCCGTGTCATAACAAGCAGGATGTCTGTGTAGAACACCCGTGACGCTAAAAATAGCAAGATAATGTTTTGGGATTAATGAGCGCTTGGAATTATCGGGCGATGTCTATGTTTAAGTGCAACGATGTCTCACCCGATTCAAACACGTTCACCATACTATATACAACGAACCGTGGAGTCAATAAACAATTACAGTTAAGACACAGTAGTGTTTTGATGATTGTGCTACAATCTCACACCTACAGACCGTGCACAGCATTCATGATGCACCCTCACTGTGTTGCGCCATGGGCTACAACACTCCGAGTGGATTGGCTGGTTGTGATTGTCACCGTGACACCATTTTGTTTCTTCTCGACTCTCCCCCTCTTGATGCATTCATCTTCAGAGTCCTCCCTAGTGTTTGACAATCACTGATACAACATGGGGCCAATGCACATAGTCAGTCCCCCCTTGATGCATTCATCTTCAGAGTCCTCCCTAGTGTTTGACAATTACTGATACAACATGGGGCCAATGCACATAGTCAGTCCCCCCTTGATGCATTCATCTTCAGAGTCCTCCCTAGTGTTTGACAATTACTGATACAACATGGGGCTAATGCACATGGGACACGATAGGACATGCGAAATGGCATGATTTCAGTATTATATACATCGTTCGAGTTCCTTAATCGCTATCAACAGAGGCGTTATGCTGGAACATAGCCTCTACTATCAGCCATTGGCATTCCTTAACGACCGTGGCAAGACCATGGAAGCACAGAATACTCCGTTGTCTCCAAGCGCCATATGAGGCTAAAATACTGCTTCGTAAAATCTCAATGTAAAGCCAAGATTCCAAGATTTTCAACACCTGTCAAATAAGGCTACAGGAGTGCCAACAGGTTTTAATCTTTCTCAGACATTTGCTCCTGTATCAATATGTGGCATTGGAAAACATCTGTCGACGTATCCGAGACCACTCGTGTAACTCCGGACTGGGTACATGGCGTGGTTGGGTCCACGGAAATTGGCGAAGTCTAGTCACGAAATCGGAGGCCATCATAGTCAGTTATGATGACGTCGCAACGTTACAACTTCCCTGCGTTGCCAGAATCACAGACAGTACACCAACCAGTAGACAATGTTGAAGACAAAGAACATTATAGGGAACATTGCTCTCGAGATCTTGTCCGCCATTCTTGCACGCTGACGCTTCAACCTGTCTTGTAAATACACTATCCGTCTATTGGAGCTGAAGGATATCTGGAATTAAAACATACAGTGTTATAAACGTTATTGTTATAATCTCATGTACAGTCATTAAAGGCATTTCCAGTTATAAACGTCATTTACGGTTATAAACGTTAATTGTATAAACGTCATTTACAGTTATAAACGTCAATGTTATAACGTCATTTACGGTTATAAACGTCAATGTTATGACGTCATTTACGGTTATAAACGTCAATGGTATAACGTCATTTACGGTTACAAACGTCAATGTTATAACGTCATTTACAGTTATAAACGTTAATGGTATAAACGTCACTTACAGATATAATGTAAGCGTCATTTATACAGTTTTTTATTTGTAGTTATCAGCGTCATTTTCAGTTTTAAACGTCATTAGTTGAAAACGTCATTTACAGTTATAGGCCTTTTTCTACATTTATAGCCGTTATTTACAGTTATAAAAAAGTCATTTACAGTTAAGAAAAATGTCATTTACAGTTAAAGTACGTTTTAACAGTTATAACCGCAAATTGCATTTACATGTATTAACGTCATTGTCGTTTTCAAACAATTCTTTACTCCCTTAACAGAACATGGTCTTATTGTAACAATAGCTCTGAGGGGAACTTCACATCGACTGATTCATGTATGTGAATTACGTTGCCAGGCTGATTGTCAGTTTCATTCACTGTAACAATTGCGGACTGCTTTCATCATTTCAGCTGAAGAGACAAAGGCGTTGGAGACCATTGTCACAGGCCAAATGAGGGGACGCCTGATGTTGTGGTGAAGTTAATGTTGCGGAAACCTCGAGCAAAATTATTATCACTCTCGCCCTCAACGAACAATGTTATTCATTTGAATTTCAACTGCAACCTTGTTTGAAGCAAGTCTATTGATACCACAATACAATGTGAAAGCATTATGACAGAAACACCAAAGGGTAGTTGTACAATCAGTTGATAACATTAACCGCAAGGTCAAGGACAAGGACAAGGACAACGTGATCTAGGGGAAGTGTTGGGTTTCAACACGTTAAAGTCACGTGTTTTCGTGATGCATTGTATTGGGAACACGAAAGACTGAAGGTTCCTTGATCTACTTCATTTTCCAAGAGGACTTGTTGATAGATGCATGCACAAACCCCTTGTAACACCCAGTGGGGATGCATGTCGGATAATTAAATAGAGAATCTCACCCGAGTGTCTTTTGATATCAAATATATCAACACGAGTTGATAAAAGTGAAAAAATTCCGAGGCTCATCCAAGCGATATCTCCCGTGGGAGCCAGTTTTGTATGATAAAGGTTGTTCGCAAACAAAGATTTTGTAGTACCATGCAAACCGTCGAGACAAAAAACAAATATAAAGGTAAACTTGAAAAACTACAGTAACTATTTCTACTCCTCATTTTGAATAATACGGTATGATACTGAGTAGATAACAGTTTATTTGAGTACATGCAAATACATGCAGACAGTCAAATCGGATCGGATTAGTACCGGATTATCAAGTGTCTGTATTAGCGAGGTAATGGTCTTTGTCCAGCTCTAATGTCCGGAATACCGAGGTTCTGTATTAATGGCGTTTATTTGAATATGACGACACAATGTGGAATACGGGAAACAGAATATACATTCTGAGGTCAATTCTTTGAAACAAAGGTATGAATGGTACTTTAAAACCTGGCGCCAGTGAAACTGGACACTGTCTATTGATCAAAACCTTAAACCGAAAACAATATATTTAAATGCATTATTTATATAACTTTTACTGACGCACATTGTCGTATAAACAGTGGGATAACCGAGCAGTGAGGAACCGAAACGTTAGGGAAGAGAAATGTATGAATGTCAGCTTCTTTTACCATGAGGAACGCAACGTTACGGAATATATACTTACTCCACCAGGTGAATAAATGCTACGAGGCAGAGTTCCACCTTTGTTTTCTTGTTACCTTTGTTGTTCTTACAGGAACATATGTATACTGAACAACAAAGGTTCCTGTGACATTGTATAAGATTTAATGCAAAGTTATGTTTTTTACCAAATCTGAAACAATTTCGATTTGCAACAGATAAAAGACTCCTGTAAGTGTTCAAATGGTTTAATTTGCCATACTGACTTCAGAAAATGCGTGATTTCATAAAAATCATGAACATGCCAAAATTTACAAATCAATAGCGTGTATGTCCACCTCTGGTTGCGATGCAAGCAACACATCTTCGTCTCATGGAATGGACCAGGCGTCGCACAAAGTCCTGTGGAATATCTGTCCATATCTGCTGGAGCATGTTTCGAAGTTCCTGGAGTGTCTGTGGAACACGTGGTTGACGTCGAAGGCGCCGATCCATCTCATCCCACATGTGCTCGATTGGTGAGAGATCAGGGGAGCGAGCCGGCCAGGGGATGACATTCCCGTTGTTTTGTTGAAGAGAATCCTGAACAAGTCGAGCAATATGAGGCCAGGCGTTGTCATGTTGAAAGGTAATGCCTGGGCCATGACGACGCAAACACGGTAGAACAACAGCGCCGATGATCTCGTCGCGGTAGCGCTGTCCATTGATTTCCCTCTACCACTATCAAACGGGTCCTCTGTTTTGCTGTAATACCACCCCATACCATAACGCTGCCGCCCCAAAACAGATCTTCTTCCATGACACAATGATTTACGTGACGTTCACCTCGACGTCGAACCCGTGCTGTGGCTGAGGTGAAAACGAGACTCGTCAGTGAATAGAACTTGTCCTCACTGCATGGCCGTCCAGCGTAGACGCTGTCTGCACCACTGTAGACGTGCTTGACGGTGGTTTCCTGTCAAAATTGGACATCTGGCGGGTCTTCTGGCGACAACCCCTGCACATGCGGGGCGGCGACGTACGGTTTGTGAAGATATTCGTCGAATGCCAGGGATGCTTCTTGCAGTCACTGTTGCTGGCCGGAATCGATTTCGTAGGTGTGTTGTTCGAATCCAGCTGTCTTGTCGATTATTGGTTACGCGTGGCCTGCCACTCCGAGGATGGTCTCTGACTGCATTTGTCTGTTGCCGACGTTGCCAAAAACACCATATGGTGTTTCTGTGGATGTAAAATTGTCTTGCAACATCACGTTGACTCGATCCTGCTTCAAGCATACCAATGGCTCGCAGACGCTCATTTTCGGACAGGCGTGGCATTTCCTAATGTTAAATAATTGCGTAATTTTGTTGTTTTTCTGAGTGGTTGTTGTCAGCACGATGCTATACAATGCATATGGAATCCCGTTACGCACATGTTTTTATACCCATTCTTGGGTAGTGAAATGCATGGAGCTTGCATAAAAGTCAACTTTTGCATGGAAAGCATGCTTTTCTGTAGCAGTTGCGTTTTTGTGACTTGATTCCATACATGTATTACAATATTGAAAACTAAACTTTACTTGTTTGAAAAATACACTAAAATGTTGGTGTCACAGGAACTTTTGTTGTTGAGTATAGTTTCTCTGCCTCGCAGCATATATTTACCTGATGAAGGAGTAAGCATATACTCCGAAACGTTGTGTTCCTCATAATAAAGAAGTTGACATCCATAAATTTCTCTTCCTTATGTGCATCACATCTAAATGCCTTTCAAAGACTTAACGCCAAAATGGATTAGTCTTCTATGTCTTAAGAAGTTCCTACTGTCTTGTGTTAGGTCCCAATCATGCGTAATGTTCTATTAGCTATCGTGTCAGTGAATGAACATTAATATCATCATCTGACACTTTAGGGCCCATCATTTCAGCTTCAAATAGAGGAGTGAGGTAATGTCGTGTCTTCGACAATATTTGTAGTTTGTTATGAACGAGATTGGTTTAATTACATGTGTATCAATATCTTTATTTGATCTGCTTTGATCATGTGATGTTTATTGTAATTTTTCGGAATTGTCCTCCATATTCCCCAAGATAAAATGATCGGCCCTTAACACTACCACATACATGAGCACACAGAGACGGGGTATATCAGTGCTAAACCCAGTCTCTTGTCCGCATTCCAACTACACTACAACACAACAACGTCACACAGCTACCGTGACGGTCAATACACCAACACAACACAACGTGCTCATTCTGCAAACAGCGTTTCACGTTACAACTACCGTGACGGCAAATACACCAACAGGACACCCACCGTCCTCATTCCAGAACGTGAACCCCATCCGACTGAATTCCGTCTACATTCCATTTCGTGCATCCTGAGAGCGACATTGGCTTCCGCAAATTGACACCATGTAACATCCAATCAGCCTAATATCCATCAGAGTCTATTGCACTGATGATGAAGAGGCGCTACTCACATCACCTCTGAGTTTTTCCTATACACAAACTGTTTTTAAATGGTGATTTGGCCCAGAAGATACATTACACTCGACGTCATCGTTCATACTTGACGTTGACGTAATTTACATAAATAAACACACGTGGTTCACGACATCACACGTAGCGTGATATGGGACAAGTATGTGTGTTATTCGGTTGGTAACACACTCTGACGGCCAGAAATGTGTTGTGTCATCCACATTCCACCGTACTTCTCTGACTAGAGGTAGGGGCGGCCCTTGGTCCAAATACTGTAACACCCCGTCCAGAGTTGTCTCCCTTAGATGCTCGGATCATGCCGTGGTTCGAATACCAGAGTATGATCCTTGGCACGTCAGCTCCTGTGTCGTGCTCGTGGGTTTCACCAAAGTGGGAAGCGTCACCCTGGCTTCCTCCCACATGAAGCCGACAACTGTGGTGGAATTGAATACTGCCCAAAGCGGCGTTAAATCCCCCTTCAATTAAATATTTAGGACTGAGAGTATCGTATGCTTTGAGTGTTTGCAGACATGTCAATTTCAGGTTACACTTGTGCGTCAATGTAATGGTAGATTTGACACTTGAATAAAAAATTTTAACTACTCTAATGTACAATGTTACAGTAAGAAGTCTATCATTGAGCTGGCAGCTGAACGTCCATCATGATTGGCACATGAGTGGCACATCCATTCTTCGTGGACTTAAAGAGCGAAACCGTTACTCTATATTTCATCCATTGTTACATATTGTCTTAAAAACATACGTCATCTGAACTTGGATGACAATGGGATGAGACAAAAGACCAAGCTGTTATTTCATCTACATGTATTAGCCTGTGAATATAAATAATAACACAGTCGTAGACGGACTTCTTTTACATTCATGACGCTAATGATGAAGGGTTGTGTGAGTGAGTGAGTCAGTGGGATCTCATTCCACTCTGAGCAGTATTTCAATCATAATTCGGTGTATCAACGATGTGTTGAAGTAAGACAACTTGTCGCATGAATGAGTAAGTAAGTTGGGTTTAACCCCGCTTTGATCAGTATCCCAGTTATATCACGGCGTGCCAGCTTAATATGAGAGAAGAACCAAAAATGATGCCGGTCTCATACGTTTAGCACATTGGTGAAACACACGAGCACGGGTATGGCGATGGCAAACCAAGAAATATAACCGTTGTTCGAACCCACGATCATAGATTCCTGTCGTGCCTAAAGGACGTAACTCTGCACGTCGAATCGCGGCGCCTTAGACGACTGGGCCGTGCTCCCGATTACCATTTAAACCCAGGTTGACGAACCAAGGATCATAATCGGCGTGTCTCTTTGATTCGAACAAACAACCGGCCGATCCTGATACAAATGCTCTGCTATACTGAACGACCCTTGTGCCTCTACCAAATGTTCAGAAAGGGCCGGTTGTGCAAACAATATGCTAACGGTATATTGAACCCTTAAGGCATCACGTGTCATGCAGGTTGTTTCCGGTTTAGTATAATTCAATCACTCACTCACTCACACGGGTTATCATTCCTGTTGGTGTCAAACATAAATGGTCAAACATACAGCTGGTCAAACAATACTGTGGGTGTCGGCAATAGTGGGTGTGGTGCGCACAAATACACAACACTGAAGACACTAGTGCCAATAACAAGTGGGTGTGTCTTTCTAACGGGTGGGCGTTGCCAATATGTAAAGCAGTGTACCTTGTTCTCACAGCCTCTTAGCTGCAACAAAACGAAATATATACCTTACCAAATTCCACGGTAGAGAACTTTAACGTGAAGAAATTGAATGAATGAACTTTGAAACGTCATACCGAATTACACAGTTAGTAACACCTGAATTATTTTAATTTGAAAATTTATATTGATATGGTCCGAAAGCCTTCATGGTGCCACTTTGGAAGCATAATTAATTTTTTTTAAAATCGAGTTCTGTTCGTTATTTCAAATATTTAATTGTTTCTCTCTTCATTTCGATTATTTTCTTGTTATTTCAATTATTTTATCGTTATGTTAAGTAACGATTTGAAATAACGAGAAAAAAATCTAAATTTCGAGAAAATGCTCGAAGTAACGAAAAAATAATTCGAAATTTCGAAAGAAGATGATAATTGAAATAACGAGACAATAACTGACATTACGAGAAAAATGTTGAAATTTCGATATTTTTGCAATTATTCAACATAACGAGAAAATACAAGAAATTATGCCACCGACGTGGAACCATTAGGTTTTCGTACTTTGCCATTTAGATACATATCCCCACAGACAAGAATGACAACCAATCGACGAGTTACCTGACCATGTACGTCCAATTATAATGGCATTATAATGCAGATGGTTCGCATGGCTTCCTCACAATGGACTCGCCTCTGAGTTCATATTTCTGGTTTATGATTATGGAATGGATTTTATAGCTTTTGTTTAATTGATAACACTTTATATATCATGCAATACATTTGAATACTGTAATAATAATTTAGTGTATAGTTTAACTATGCTCCGCCCACCCACTCTCACAAATATAATATATGATATACAATTTAAAAATATAATATAAACAGAAAATAAAAGGAAAGTAAGGAAGCAAAGACTAAGAAGTATAAACTGATATATACTGATGGTCAAAGGTTAAGCAACACCAGATGGGATAGAGGACGTGCACATAGACTATTGCATTCAAGACCAACTCGTGTCATTCCGGAACATGCCGGCAGGCTGCGGAAAGAAGCGAGTGTTGACGAATGACATAATTGGTGCTGTACGCCAGTCTGACAGGGTAGGAGAGTTTGCACGAGTTGACTTGAATATTGTCAATATTTACATTTAAAAGAAACAGTCCCTCCTTGGTCTTTTGTACATATTACTTGAGTTTGTACACTACGACAATATTTATAAATATTGCTACAAGATGACATTATACACATTGTTGATATAAACTGTTTTGGTCCTTAAATTTGCATTGTTCAATCAGGGGTCCGTCAAGGATGCATGTTGAGTCCAGTTTTATTTACTCTTTTTCAGAAACGAATTAGTTTCGGGGTTTAAGCAAAGTGGATTAAGGTGAGGTGAAATGGGGTTTAGCGTCGCGTCCAAGATTATTGCACTTATATAGCGACGTGCATGCACGTGTGCGTGTGTGTGGCTGCTTGTACTAGTCCAGACTGAATACCCCACTCAGACACAGTATACTGACTCAGAGCCGACCAGTCCTTGTTTTAGCCCCATAATGCCGAGCGCCAGGCAGGGTAACAACAGTGGATTAAAAGGCATATTGGTTCTTGAGGACCTTTTGTTGCTTTTATTTGCAGATGGCGTGGTTCTGGTGGACGACTCAGTAATTGGTTTTCAAAGGAAATTAGACTTTATGAATGACTTTTGTCAGAAATGGGATCTAGAGGTGAATATTAATAAGTCCAAAATACTTGTTTTAGAAGCGGTGGTTACCTACTTAGAAAAGTGGTTTTATTCAGGAGTTAAAAAGAAAACTGTAACCTATTACAAATATTTAGGTATTATCTTTTCAAAGAATTCAAGATCTTAGTTTTTGAATTTGTATAGTGGTTGTAAGTCTGTTCTAGATTTAAAAAAAAATATGTTACTGAATTATTTAATTGTAAGGATTCACTGCGATTATTTTGTAAGGTTCTTTCGTCATCCCAAAAGTTGAAAAAATCCAACAAGAAGGATTAAAGATGCCAGTTGATCCGAAAGTGTTATATACACATTGTCATGGAAACCGTATTGAAGGCGAGTTCCATTTCCTCCTTGTATGTCCCCCATTATACGTCAAGCAGAGAAAGCTTTATACCCCTTCATTATTATACATACCCTAGTAAGTTCACTTGTCACTATAGCTCCATGCCACTCCTGTGAGGACAGGGGTGCCAGTAGAAGATACCTCTATCTCATATAGCTCGAAGCTCGCCTTTAAAAAATAGGGGGTCGATGTCCCATTGCCTGGAGTCCGTTTCCATTATATGTAAGGACAGAGGTGTTGCCACGCTGTAAGTAGCTTAACGATTACCTTCTAGATTGGTAAATATCATAGCAATTGAGTTTCCAGACAGACAACGAGGCATCTGGAGGTCTACAGTTAAACTTACCAGGACTGCCAATTGAGTCTAGCTTCACGACTATTGACTGTCATTGGTCTTATTACAGACTTAATGACAGAGATCGAAGGTGGTAAAATGTCGTTCTTTCTTACCTCTTTATTTTTGAATTTCGAATCCTCTTTAACATTGCCGTTGCCCTCGTTCCCTTCCATCACCGACATACGACGTCGTCTCTCCACCCTGTTCTGAACGTTGACGTAGGCGAACTCCAACAGGGCTGCGAACACGAACCCCAGACACATGGCCATCCACACGTCTATCGCCTTCACGTACGACACCCGGGGTAGGGAGTTGCGGGCGCCGGTGCTCTGTGTCGTCATGGTCAGCACCGTTAGCAGTCCCAGGGACACCCTGGCGGGGATGGCGTCGATGTCAATCCAGAACGACACCCACGACAACATGACGATGAGCACGGATGGCAAGTATACCTGAGCTATGTAGTACCCGAAGAGCCGCGTCAGCTCGAACTCGGCCGTGATGCATGAGAAGTTACCTGGAAGGAGACAATTCGACATTTGTGAAATTAGTTATTGAGAGGCGACTGGAGCGGGTGGACCGGCCCGGGGACTTGCTTGATACGTTGTCATCGTTGCTCACAATACCAATCACTGGATTGTCTCGTCCAGACGTGTTTATTACATGCAGTGGTCAAATAGCTGGGGTATTTCTGAGTGCGGCGTTAAACAACAAACAAACTAACAAACAAACAGTTATATCACGGCGTGTCAGGTTGATGTCGGAGGAAAGCCCGAAGTGATGCAGATTTTAACACTTGGGTGAAACGTACAAGATCATGGGAAACCGGGATTCAAACCCACGGTCATGTTTCTACGAAGACTAAAGGAAGCAACTCTGGACAGCGAACTGAAGGCCCGCGCTATATGAAAGTACTGAATGCGCCTTACCTACAATCATGCTGGTTGCTGAATTCTTGAACTCGCAGCTGCCTGCTGAATTGTACTGAACCACAAACCTGGGGAGTGTCATGCCCTCTCGCATTATCACCGGAGTGGAGTGCCACTTGAACACCACGTTGTCGGCCGTATAGCTGTCTGCAACACAAAGAAATACATTGTCACCGGAGTGGTTTTCCTCTTGTCCGTTGTCCGATGTATAGGAAACAAGCTTTGTGTAGGCAGTAAATTTAATTTTGATATTTTGGGCCCCCTCCCTTTTTAAACTGCTGGATCCTCCCTGGGTAACCTTGCTTTTCTCAACAATACTAAACAGTCGGGCAAACTATAAATATACACCCATGTTGGCTAAAAATTAAACAGATTAGCAATGGTTATTCGATGGTGAAGTATTTGATAGGGGTATCATACTTGTGTTTAGGACTTCACCTTTGTAGTTTTTCGGCGATTGCTTTCTTCCTTGTAACGTTTTGATAACGTTTCTGATTTGTTGATCAAATCCAGTTTTAGAATGTATACTTTCGTTTGCCCGGCAGTTTATTAATTTTGTGTAGAGAATTCCCAACCTTTCTTTTGAAATATTGTAAGGTATGGATTGGTTTTCAAGCAACTGGTATACATGGAATTTGAAAACGACTTGACACACATTGACAGATGCCAGAACATGGTACGCTTACCCCTGCTACTGGTTTGGTTGGCGGTTCCAGTCGGCGATTTAAGTACCGTCATTATCCGCGACACAATTCAACCTACCTCTTATACCGCTCATGACTGACACGTGTACACGCCTACCTTCACAAAGTGACAGAGCAATTGCGAGAGCGACTGAGGACTTCTTGGTCTGTGTGACTACCATACCATCTTCCCGAGGCAAGAACTGTAAAAGTCCAGTAATATTTTGGCTGGACCAACGAGTCGATGCACAGTCCAATCAAAATCGCGAAACGAAATCGACATCCGGTTCGTAAACAACATGGATTTCAGATTGCAGGATTTGCAAAAGATGTGTACCGTCAACTGGGCGACGACAGCTATTTTCATAACCTTTAATGTTTTTTAATGAAGGTGCTCACGTGATTTGTTGCACGTCGCGAGGTAATATATATCTTTATAATCGATCAGATCGTCTTGACTGGGCGCCGCCATTTTGTTTGAAGCAAATGCAAGTGATATGAGAGGTCGAATCTTATTGGTCAAGATGAGGGGCATACAAGGGACATAACTCGTAAGAACCACTGGTGGCGCTACGATCATGCCCAGAAATTCCAGCCTAGTTCGGCAAGGGTGGAAACTGGACTTTTACAGTCAGTTAACTCCAATGGCTCGGGAAAATGCTATCATACTGCCACATTGTACTTACAGCTGCTGATGTTGACGGAACACGTCTGCTGGTCGTGTGGGTATTTGTGTAGGTACATATCACAGCTCAGGGTCATGGAAATCCTGAAACCAGAACCAGAGATAAGGATGAGAAGTGAGACCGCCTCATCTGTTAGATTAATGTGTAAAGATTCAGAGTGACAAAACACTCTCCACAAGACTGCATGCGAGAGGGATGACTTCAACTTTCCAATGGCCAACTTTCCCTTTATGCCGAGCAATATTCCTTCAGCTCCGGCCTTTGGCGTCTACATTTTACAACGTTTGAGGTACTATCTTACATGCTCTTTCTATGAAGATTACAAAAGAATGTCGTACGACTCAGACATTTCCGACTTTGACGCGTCAGTGACCAAAAATATGTACGATGTTATACCTATCTCGTCTTGCATAATGTTCCGTGGTTTTCAGGTGAACATTGATTGCCTTTGCATGTGTTTGTGACGGCTGCCACCGGTTAGCCAGGATACACTCACCTATTAGCGAACACCTGGCATTATCACTATTTGATAGTGATTACAAACAAATTCTCATGATATGGTCGGAATAGTACAGCCGACTCTGCTATAAGCAGATATGTCTTATGAAAATGGAAAGGGTTTTGTCGTTTTAACGTACACGACTGGATCAGACTACGTGGTCACATTACGCGGTTACCCTACGTGCAGACAATCGAAGTACAGTAAACTACGTTTATAACGAACTCGCTTATAACGAACTGACGGATATAACAGTTTTTTGGTCCCGGCATTTGCTGTATATATGCTTATAACGAACTACCGTTATGTGTGTCATTTTGGTCTTTTTCATTTCCTGGGTCAAAATAATGATATTGTGCAACCTGCACAATACTTGATATTGGCGATGGACTTCCATCAATTACGTTCCGGCACTTCATGAACAGTAAAACTCGAAACAGTCTGGTAGAACTCATCACTTTCGGAATGGCACACCGTCAACTATTCTGAGAAAACCAGGCAGTGAAGACATCATGTCCTTGAGGTCCTCTTTACGAGCGTGGATTCCCGTCAAGTGCCCTTCAAAGAAGTCTCCGAGATAAAGCTTTGTACAAACTGCATTATCCCCTCTCAGCATCATCACCCATCACAGATACATCATCGCCATGACCTCAGTGTCAAGACTAGGAAGTGCATCATATGTTACAAAAAAAGATTTATACATCCCTTGACGGGAATGCATCAACTAGTGTTTCGACAGTTCACACAATAAACTCTTGAAACATCTTCCCGCTGATCTCAAATGACCATAAACTGGAAAAATAACAAAATAACTGTCATGAAAGATTAATTTCTTGCTCTTCGCACAGTATTCCCTGGGGAGATTTTAAGTAATGTGTTTTCATTTCTATTATGACCAATTGTTGCTTTCGGGAACATCATGGCTTGGCTTGACAGCTGTCATTAATCTACGTTACAAGGTGAAGTCATGGATTCAAAATACGAATCTAATCTTTATTTTTCCAGACGGAAGACACGAACGGCAGGTGATAAATAGTTTATTATCTAAATACGTACGTATTGTCTATGTTGCTTTAATCATGGTATGTATGGCGGTGGTGATAGCCTAGAGGTTACAGCGTTAGCTCGTCGCGTCGAGTACTTGGGTTCGGTTCTCCCATGGAAACATATGTGAGACCCATTTTGGGTATACCCCGCCGTGATATACCCTAAATCATGATAAAGCGGCGTAAAACCATACTCACTTACTCATTGTGGATCTAGTGAGTACGATCTACCCACCATGCTGGAAACTGCTTTTTCATTGCTGGTAATTATTTATACCACCATGGCCGCAGAGACATCATCCTCGTTTATACAGGGTATAATTCCAGGATCCATTCGCATAATGAACTTTCGACGTCTCATCAATAACTGACTCTGTCCTTTCTATAGACTTTCTACATTATTTTTACAGACTTTCTACAAGTATTCTAAGACTTTCTACAGACTTTCTACTACTATCTACAGACTTTCTACAGATTTTTATAGACTATGTACAGACTTTCTACACGTATTCTAAGACTTCCGACAGACTTTCCACATACTTTCTACTACTATCTACAAACTCTCTACAGATTATTAACAGACTATGTACAGACTTTCTAAAAACATTCTACAGACCTTCTACATAATTTCTACTACTATCTACAGACTTTCTACATACTTTCTGCAGATTTTCTAAAACTTTCTACATATTTTTACAGACTATCTATAGACTTTCTGCAGACTTTCTAAAAACATCCTGCCCCCACAGGCGCACCCGCCACAAACACATGCAAAGCCAAAGCAAGTGTTCACATGAAAAAAGCATGGAAACATATGGTACACGTCAAGAAGACGACCAAACAAGATCCTCCTACCTGATACTCGACTGCACCGTTCCGTTGGGATACAAATGTAGCAGTTTGTTAGCCACCGTCACGTCATGCATAATTGCCTGCTTTTCGTTGACGAAATACAGATCAGGTGTCCAGACCCTGTCCATGAGCTTGGTGTCCACTTCTATCCGGGTGAGATTGGTGTGGTCCGACCACAAGAGTCTGCCGTCCGTCCAGTTTTGGCGCAAGTAGATGCTCATTGAATACTCCTGGAAGTCAATACAGGGCTCAGATGGGTGAAACAAGATCTGCATTCTGGGGACACTCTCCCCAGGGAGTAGAGAATCTACATCCTCCATTGACTGGGATGTTAACATGCGTTTTGTGGAATTAGATCCTTCAAATGTGCATGTTATATTATTACTGGGATGACTATGATTATTATTATTAAAATTGAAGTGAAGTGAAAGCTACTGTGTTCACAGTGACGTGTAGTTTAGTCATCAATGGGCGTTATGATTATAATAAAGGGGAAGACATTGATGGTCTTGTGTATAAGCTACTTCACAATATGCTAGCGAGATAATATAAACTCGGTTATATCACGGCGTTTCAGCTTAATGAGGAGGAAATCCCGGAGTGAGGATTCACAGTCGCCTAAGGCTGAGCAGAGTTGCCTCCCTTTGTCGTGTCTGGATCTCCTCCCACGTTAAACTGACACGAATAAATGAAATACTGTTATAAGTGATGCAGAATCAAATTCAACCGCTTTTAAATAATAGATCAAACTACATTCACGCCCAGGTTCCTTGTCAACGAACACCAATACCCCATCATGACAATATTTGTAAGCATGTCGAAAGAATCGGCATTGTGTGCGTCTAATATTACACTACTGTTTCAATATCAGGACCAAAACTGAATACCTCTCTTCTACGTAGACAGGAATGTTGGTCGAAACATTAGACATGTGTAGACTTCAGACACAGTGTCCACATTATGAATCAATGCTGGATAGCTTAATATTGAAACAAATTGAGATAAATATAGTGCCAGTTGAATAACTTGAATCTACTTTGCTGTTACTGTTATTCTGGCCAGTACCTTTTACTAATATCAAGAAAATAAATGACGTAAAGAAATACGATACTACCGTTTTAACACTACTTCAAAATACAGACAAACAACTGGTTTCAAATCGTTATTGTCACATTGATTACAGATGTCTCCACACTATGCGCTCATTCAGCCTTTGGATATACAAGCCAAACCGACAGTACATGCTGTTAGAGAAGCAACGCTCACAGCCTTCAGAAACATGGACACGAAGTGATGCGGATTGAGGACCTTAATGATGAAACATGCTTATCTTTAACACTTGCTGCCAGAATAAACAATGCACAGGATGCTGGTGTTATTAGTAATGTTTTGTTTGTTTGTTGTTTAACGCCGCACTCCGCAATATTCCAGCGTTATGACGACGGTCTGTAAATAATCGAGCCTGGACCAGATAATCCAGTGATTGACATCATGAGCATCGATCCACGCAATTGGGATACGATGGTATGCATCAACCAAGTCAGCGAGCCTGACCACCCGATCCCGTCAGTCGCATCTTACGACAAGCATAGTCGCTTTTTACGACAAGCTTGTGTTCTGAAGACCTATTCTGTCCGGATATTCACAAGGTGTTATCAGTAATGACCATGTCACACTATACACGTGAAGATAAACTGGAGGGTATGGTGCTAGTGTGTTTGTGAGTTGTTTAACGCTGCTCCCGGCAATACATTGACTATTCCAGTTTTGGACAATCCTGTGATTGATCCTATGATCAGTATCCAAGTATACGATGACACGCAATGAACCAAGTCATCGAGTCTGACTACCCGATCCAATATGTCGACGGTTACGTTTGTTTGTTGTTTAACGCCGCACTCAGCAATATTCCAGATATATGACGGTGGTATGTAAATAATAGAGTCTGGACCAGACAATCCAGTGATTGACATCATCAGCATCGATCCACGCAAATAGGATACCATGACATGCATCAACCAAGTCATCGAGTCTGACCATATATGTGTGGATCTCTGTATATATCGTATTCTGATCATGAAGGCTCGAGTTTAATAATAGATTATAATAATAGATTTTAATAATAGATTTTAATTATAGATTTTAATAATATATTGTTATTGTAGATTGCACTAATAGATTTTAATAATAGATTGTAATAGTAGATTGCAATAACTGATTTTAACAATAGATTTTAATAATAAATTGTAATAGCAGATTGTAATAATACCTTCCTAGTGAAATGCCTAATGCTTCAGTTTGTCTGTTCATTTTCTGGTGAGTATTCAGAGAACCGGGGCGCCTGTTGCTCTGGGAGGAGGAAAGGCGTATGTTCAACATCGTCTAGATATGACCATTGATGACCGACCGTATCGACCGCACTACAGATGGAAGGGGCTAGTCATTGATAGGTACATAACGCGAACCTCATCATTCTGACTTGGAGACTGAAGCAACGGCTCGTGTGGGGTTCTCAGAGAGAATTTATTAACAGTAACCTAAGAGGCGAATGTGGATTAGATGGTCAGGCTCACTGACGTATTTGATTACGTGAAATCGTAACCCTACGGCTTGTCTGGTCCAGACTTACAGACCGCCGTGATATAACTGGAATATTGCTGAGTGCGGCGGAAAACAGCTTACACTCACTCACTTAATCGCAACCTATTAATTGTTTAAATGGCAAAATATCTACTATTTTGAAACCGTTCAAGTCTTTGGGCCGATGCTACTATACAAGATTGCTCTCGTAAATAAAACGTAGTTATTAAGAACACATTTCTACGTCTAAATACACTGGCTGATTGAAGTAGGCAAGTAAGACCTAATGTAGTGCCTCGACGGAACGCAGGAAAGAGGAATATTTATTATGGAAAGTGAAATATTCATAAATTCAAATTGTAGCACAACGAAACAAATTGGGTTTGTCGTCCACCATGATTCAAACCTGGCAGATTGTCTTAAAGCGTTTGTGTCCACGTGTCAATTATGCGTGTAAATACTCACGGATTTTGACATTGTATAATGGACGCATTTTGCCAGTTTGTGAATCCTAAACATCCCCCGATCCCTATACATGTATCTGATATATCATGTTGTGTTTCTTACTTGTACTCATTTACAATTGTGTAAGTAAGTGATCTACAATTCAATATTCGGTATCTCTTTGTGTGTACGTGCGTATGCGTGTGTGTGTACGTGCGTGTGCGTGTGTGCGTGTGTGTGAACTGCGTGTGCGTGTGTGTGTGTGCGTGTGCGTGTGCGTGTGTGTGTGTTTCGGACACATACGATATTTTCTTTAGCAAGAAGCGTAATAATTATAATCATTTTCGGGACAAACGTTACGTCCTTTGATAAAACATGAGGAAAACGTATTTTTCCCAAGAAAACGTAGGTCCCAAAATCCTCAATAGTTTAAAACACGTGCTAATCCTTCAAACATGTTTCTGTCATTAAGGTAGTCTATACTACTCCACCCTTGATAGGGATACATCTTTAATGCACATGAAACACAAAACAACGTTTATTTTCAAATAGAATGACAAATCTGATTATCTCTATCAAAAGTTGAGTAGTATAAGTATGGTAATGTACATGGATATACACAGTGTGGTGATTACACTCCTTTTTCCAAATTGGGCGATTTAAAAAACAGCTTTTTTTGCGACACTTGTATTGAGGAAACTGTGAAACCCTGACATACACAAACACACATACTATATGAAATATATATATTATGTATGTGCTATAAGCATCCGTGATCTGTTTTATGAAAAGAATACAAAATCATTTCATTTTTAATGCATAACATTTTCGAATATAATCAATCCTTTAGACAAATCTGATGAATATTTCTTAAAAATTGTCTGAATGACTTATTGGTCAATATGTTATAGCATTTGGATAACCAGACACAGAAAAGGACACACACTGGTTAACTGAAACAGGGTGGAACTAAAGAAACGAAATACATCTTTGGGTTCAGAAAAGCTGACAAAAAAGTATCGTACCATAGTTGATGGAGCAAAGCCGTATTTTGATTTGCGTTTAGCTTTCGCCGCAGTATCCTTGAAATAAACGAACAGAGAAACAGGCATGAAGGAAAAGCACATGCTGATAGAGGATCTTCATTGTAAGAAGAAGACTCTTAGCTTGAAGTTTGAACAGAAATAATTCAATTTAAAGGCAAATCTCATCTACTGACATTACATTCCTTTCAAGAAATCATAAAACCACTTTTGCGCACTACCATATTTATTATAATGAATTTTAAACTTTCGAGTTTTCTTTTTTGCAGTAAATTCAACATTTTCATAGCAAATACGTTGAAATTATGATTTTGTGTTTGTTTGGATACAGTATTCGTGAGCCTATCAACACAAATCACCTTTGTACGACACATGGAACAGACAACACTAGAGATGTGTTCATGGAGAATCACCAAGTGGTTGCTACAGCCATTTTGTTAGAAAGGTAGAGATTGCTGAACTAGCCGCACACACACATGCAGTTGGACAGTGTATCGCTGGAAGCAAGGAGAAAGATCGAGAAAGCAGGCACACGTTGTGTATCATTCAAGGACAAGCATGTAGATTGTTTTGACATATTACTAATCCATAAAAGTGTATTTAGATGATATCTTAACTGTTGCATTATCAATGTATGTCACAATGCTTCTTATGATTAACATTAGGGAGAAATATGAGAATATGTGGGAAAGTAACTTTGGGTTAGGATTAAAATATTTTTTTCGACCTGCATTTGTCATCAAATTGTCTTTTAGAACTTACAGTGTGAATTTTAAATAGCTTCCTATTCAATTACCATTCAAATCAAATCGTTAAAATGATGACATACTTTTGTAACTTAATTATCTTTTTGTGCAAACCAACATATCGAGATCCTTCTAAACGGTTTTTATCGTATTTATATATTTTGTTGTCTAACATATTGTGGCCTAGTATTGTGGTTGGAACGCCTTGACTTGGTAAACGAGGTACTCTGATATATTCCTCGAAAGTTTCATTAACTGTGATAAATTGTTATTTGATTTTGAAATCTGTCGAGTGGGATTTCTGTTCTATTATTTCCATGTAAAGGATGCAAAGAAAAAAATCAGCAAACTTTTATAGGACAAATATAATAGAACATGCCATCCCTAGAGCTCGGAGGTATAGCATTAAGATGATAAGTATAAGCAAAATAGTTCTCTCATCTAGAAAAAAAACTCAGTACATCCAGATAAGGTTAGCACAGCGGGTACAGCAACTATCTATGAAGCCCTCACCTGTTTCCCGTTACCAGGCAACGGCTGTGTGTTCCAGTGTAGGATAACACAGATAATGTACATTGTATACGATGCTGATTTAGTATAGCGTTAAATTACACCATAGTTTTCGACATTTGTTTATCAAAATACCATTTCACTACTTGAGAGTTTAAGACTTTAGGGTTTCAGAACAATATCTTTTTTGTCGATCTCTCACCTATCTTATCTTAGGATACCACATGAAAGATATATTTTCCGTGTCATGTGTAAAATTATATAAACATTCTAACAAATGTATTCACATCTCATATTTGGTTGAAAATTGTATTACAATCTTTCATACAAACATTAACGGCAATGTGAGTTCGATATCGCTTGAATTTATAAATATATTCTGTCAAATGATTTTTATATATGAAAATAAACAAAATCTACAAAGGAATGGGGCGATAGCAGCTACCACGATATAATTCAATATACGACACATGTGAATATACTCACCATTGTTCTATAGTTTCTAATATTACGTTTAGAGGAAGATCGGTCATTAACTGAGCTAACCCATTCGTTCTGGCCTGCTGTGACGGCTGGTTGTTTACGCATGCACGGCTTCCCATCACTTCCCTGTGGCAAACAAGATGTAGGGAAGGTGTACTACAGGCTACAGCGGTTCAGTTGGAGGTTGTGTGGGGTTCAAAGGGGTTAACTGCTATGTGAGTTCTATTGATGTAATTAAGCATGGACAGGCATATGGCAGGTCTATATGTACAGAAAAAGGTTTGCAAGAACAGTATATACAAGATCATTCACTCTGTGGTTGGCGTATTGCTTCAGAAGAACATACAACAGTGATACTACAACGCTAAAGATACGACATTTGGCTAGTCACTGCTGTGGTGCACCACATATAAGCATCTACACCTACAAAAGTCACAATCCTGACTTGTTCAGTAAATATTTTGCTATTGGTTGTTATCTGGTCTATTAGGAGAAAATATGTATCATATTTGTTATATATTACTATATTCCTGCGCGTCAGTCATTTTGAAATAAAAAGTCTTCTCAGCAGACACTAGGGAGGGTTGAAGTCATGCTTTGTTAACAATTGTATAACAGTGTTCCCAGTTGTGTTTGGTGAGCAAAAAATAAATAAAAGAACTGTCCATCCCCTCCTCACTTATGTTTTTAATATATAGAAAATACAAATTACTCTACTTCCCTCCTCACAGCGAGAAACACGTGCCAGAGAATACTTTTTGTTTGTTTCCTGCTCTCTCTATCACCATGCACCATACATGAGGTGATGTTTGTTGTTTCCATGAAGCGTTAGGTATCCTCATGGCATTGTATTCCGAGACAAATGTTTTACCTCATCATCAAGTTGATAAAAAAGATGTATTTTCTGTCATATGAAGTCAAATTCATTGTATTTAAAGTCCAGTCAATCCATGATGACGTTGGGGTAACCTCCTCTATGGAAACATACAAACACCCTCTTCTACAGGACTACCAGGACAACCGTCTAGCTCTACACGTTCTGTTGACCTTAGTACCTAATTTGTGTCCACGTGCCATGTGTCTATGCATGGTGGTGTATGTGTTCTGTCATGTTTGTTTGTTGTTTTACGCCGCACTCGCAACATTCCAGATAAACTGTCTGGCAAACGAAAGCATACACCCATGTTTGATGGTGGCAAAAGATGAAACAACAAAACATTGTTATTATTCGATGATGAGGTATTGGATACACGTATCAAAGTTATGTTTTGGACCTTAAGTTTACAGTGTTTCGGCGACTGTTTTCAGCCTAATAATTTTTTCATAACGTTTGTAATTGTTTGGTCAAATCCAGTTTTCAAGTGCAGGTTGTCTTTTGCTCGGCAGTTAATATGACGGCGGTCTTTAAACAGTCGGGTCTGGACCAGACAATCCAGTGATTGACCGCCCGATGACCGCCCGATCCCGACAGGAATGGGTTGCTGAAGACCAATCCTGACTCATATCGTCACGGGGTGTGCTGTTATGTCATGTGGTACCTCTGAACTTGAACTTTGTCAACACACACATTTATACCTTGTGAAGGAGTGTGAAATGCTGTTTTTGTAACAACAATCAATACATTATTTACATGCCTCCACAATCGTCTAACAACATTGTGATCGACATATAGACCGTCACCACGTCTCATTTGAAACCAACCCCTATAAGATATGGAAACGATTTATGGTCCTGATTTGTTGTTGTTGTTGCATTAAGTGTTTAACAGGTCGCCTTCTGCCTAGGCAATTTCAGCTGACCTGTCCCTCTTTGGGACTCCTGTGTGTGAGTAGGGTACACATATCTATTGTGAGTTTGGTGTTCACATAATTTCTGTTTTTGTATTGATATACTTTCTATTTTCTTATATTGATATGATTCCATTTTTATCCTTGGCTGCTCTGTTTATATACGTTCGAATAGCTGTCCATCTCTCAGAAATAGAGTTAGGTTGGCCTTCGCTATTGCATCTCTTGGCTTTAGGAGATGTTCCTGATGTTCAAACATATGGAGACTTAATGTAAGGCTACAACTATCTAAGGTGAGGTTAGGTGAGGTGAGGTGAGGTGAGGTGAGGTGAGGTGAGGTGAGGTGAGGTGAATTGGGTATAACGTCTCGTCCCAGATTGTTGCACTTATATAGCGACGTGTATGGACGTGCGTATGTGTGTGGCTGCTTGTACTAGTCCGGACTGATGCCGATTTATAGTGCTAAATACCATGCCGCAGTTTAACATGAATACCCTACTCAGACACAGCATACTGACTCCGAGCCGATCGGTCCTTGTTTTAGCTCCTTAATACTGAGCGCCAGACAGGGTAACAGCAAGTACCATCCTTTAACGTCTTTTGGTATGACGCGGCCGGGAATCGAACCCTTGACCTTGCGCTCTGCGGCTGGACGCTCTACCACTAGACCACGGAGGCGGTCCAACTAGCTAAGGCAAAACATAATGCTCATTATATATCACCTTGGAGTGGAATATTTCATACGTACGTGATAATGAGTCTCTGGGCTGTTGTTACTAGTAGCTTGAGCATAACAATTGTAAGGTCGATAATGTAGCTTGACAGGCGTCTAAGGGGTACTAATTGTGGTCTTGCTATTCAGGACATTTGGCACTACGTGGTGAATAACACTCATGCTTCTAATACATGCAAGCTCGTGTGGCCGGTGTTCTACACTCACTACTAGCTACCGTGACAAAGCATGCATTGTTGTTAATGCCACTGGTTTCAAGAATTCCCAAACACTGGAATCAACAACATCAAACGCTTACATCGTAGTCTCGAGAACGGAAAATGTGTAATTCAAACAATCGTCACCGACACCCCTGACACCATGATACCCACAACCCGATACCAGGTGTCTGACACCCTGAGAACGGAGATGAGAATGTTATTTATAGCAGACACTGTCCTTCACCTTTCAACAATCTGCACACTTCACTTTCCGCAGTCATCACTTCGAAAGACACAGACGACTACAAGACAAAGAGTTTCAGACAGAGGTAGAGAGGGGGCCTTGTTACAAAGTGGGTCAGCATGAGAATCTCTCTGGCGTTTTAAATAACCATTAAGTGATTAAAGACGTCAGGATAAACAGGAGAGATGTTGTAGAGAACAAGATGCAGAACCAAACATGCACGGCTGAACCACGTCAACATGACCTCAGAATCAGGTCCATTTTCGTTGCTACAGTTCGTCTCAACGCCATCTGTATCGTATGTTGTCATGGTATTATCAGGTCTGTATATGCAAATCTTCATCTGATGACACCTTCACTAAAACACATGCTCCTTGTCACCTAGCAGAGCATTTCACAACAGCCAATGATCCAGTTTCATTCACACTATCTCTGCTATATGGCAACAATAAGGGGCCAACAAATGGGAACCAACTCTACTCGATGCAAAGGTCACTCACATATGGCCCTAGACAATATACTCCATCCAAGCATAGGAAAATGACATCACTGAGATGTGGCCAGAACATAAGTCAGAAGGGCGTCTGGATAGCCTACTAATTGAGCGTTCATTCCAAAGATCCGGATGTACAATTTCAAATTTCGACGTCTGGTCTGATATCCACGATAGCACTTGTTACTGACCTGTCATAGCAGCAGATAACAAAATATCAAATCTTTTTCAAGAGTCCTGTGTAAAGTAGGTAGACAGCTTTCACTTGCAGAAGGCCGTGGCGTTTCCAACACCAATGAAGATGACACATTCTTTCAAGCGATTAACAAATCACCATGACAGCACAATTTAGCTACGTCACCAAGCTCTATCGTCACCATGGCAACAAAGGCAATCTACATACGTCACACACTGTACTCACCATAGCCGATTCGTCCACGGAGTCTATACTGAGCACAAACAGTTGAACCATCACTCTTGTGGGGAAATCTGCAATGAAATACGTCATTTTGGTCTTCAACTGGTCCTGTCCAATGTCGTGCAATCTGAAGTACTGACCCAATCCCAACGTACTGACTCACAAATCCCAACGTAATGACTCACAAATCCTAACGTATTGACTCACAAATCCCAACGTATTGACTCACAAATCCCAACGTATTGACTCACAAATCCCAACGTACAGATGACGATCTACCCTGTCTACTCTGGTTTACGTCAAATTGTCTACTCATTTCAAACAAACTTTTCACAAAACTTTAATTTGGATTAACAAAATGTTGCTACGATTTTTGACACCGTTTTTCTCGAATGTCTGATATAAAGTTGTTTTTTCGGTGGCATTCTAGAAAAAAATGTTCGAATGCGCGTACATTCTGTGTTTTGTAATACAGTAAACTACGGTTATAACGAGCTCAAAAGGGCACCTATTTTTGGTTCATTATAACCGTAGTTCGTTATAAGCATATGCACAGCATATATACAGCAAACCAACGGGGAAAAGTAGTTTGTTATATACGTCAGTTCGTTTAAGCGTGTTCGTTATAAACGTATTTTACTGTATGCATATACTCACTGTCATTGAAGTTTGGTGCAATTTTGGGATCATAGGTTCCATTGTTGAGGATGTCCTTCAGTATCTCCTGTCTGGAACACAAGGCAATAACATGAGCAGGGAATACCGCGTGAGGATGTCCTGCCTGGAACACAAGGCAATATCATTAGCAGGGAATACCGTGTGAGGTGAACGTCATATCCATTGCAACACTGTTGGAAATGTCTATTGTAACATTGAGGGAAATGTCAACTGCATTGTAACATTGTGGGGAAGGTCAAATCCATTGTAATATTGTGGGGAATGTAACAGCCATTGTAACATTGAGGGGAACGTCATTTACATTGTAACCATGGGAAACCTCAAATTCATTGTAACATTGAGGGAAATGACAACTGCAATGTAACATTGTGGGTTACGTAAAATCCATTGTAATTTTGTGGCTTATATCAAATCCTTTTGTAACATTTTTGGAAACGTCAAATCCATTGTAACATTGTGGAAAGGGTTGATTATGAAGCGCCAAGTGATGGAAATGTACACTTACCTAGGTTAGAAAAACGTAAAACATGAAAAAAGTTCTCTGTTACAAAATGACATACTCAAGCTAGCAATACATCACAGGTTTATTGCGTTAGCTACAACTCCTGACGCTCCCTGTATTACAACGCATTGCCGAGATTATTAACAGCTGGTTTGGGAGGCTTCCACTTTCTCTGCCAACATGTGCTGATGAATGAATTACTTTTATTAAAGTTTATAAACTTCGTTTTGCCTATCTCCGCTGACTCGTGCATTCTCATCTGAACATCAGATGCCACTGATTAGAAACTTGATACATTCGCACGGCCATAGCCTGAAACATCAATGGTTATTCCTATTCCTAGAAGACACTTAATCATACACGGAGAATTAAGGATATTCTTCAACAGAGATCGAAATCAGCCTTAAAACCATCGTGTGTCATTGAAAAGAAATTGAGACCTTGAAACATTCTTCACCAAGCACATCAACATTTACCATCGACACATGATATGTTAAAGATGACACACGATGCCACTTTTAATGCCAATGCATATTTGACGAGAACCTAACGAGAGTGATTATTGGGAGATACCTGAAGCCGGAGGCTGAGCATTGTCGATGAAAATGATATTCAGCATGTCAACGTACCAGGGAACATGAGATACATATTGATTGCATCCTGCTGCTGGGTTGACATGCAGTCCATGTCTACACACTGAGAAATACGTTGTGGTATATTAGATAACAACTTGTTATACCCTCTACGTGAGTCAATGTTGTAGGTCATATTCCATATAAATATACCTGCGAAACAATAATCGCATCTAGGATTGGCAAACCAGCGTCGTTAACACGGCAGTGCCACACACAAGCTATCGATCTACGCTAATAAATTCAATTAGATAAATTATGAATTTGTATATCGTACTTTCCTATTTGTAACTCACCAAACGCGCTAAGAGCATGATAGATCTACTTTATTACCCGGGCAAAGGATCAGTACGCCCTCGAGTTTGTTTCTCAGCTCCCTGGGGACTATACAACTAAAGTGTCTTGTGTGGCGCTAGTTGGTTAACCGTCAAATGCTATCGGGTACCCATTCACTGCTGGTTGAACGGAGGCATATTTCGAACAAAGTTACTTGTTCATGATATAGTCGGAATCGCTAAATCGACTCTGCTTTATGTAGAGTTTTCATTGGATATGGAAAGAGCTTTGTTGTCTTAGGAGACACCATATGTGCTACATGTGCTACATGTGCTTAAGTGTGGAGCAGGACCAAGCCCTAGAATCGATCAGGAGTCAAGCTGAAGAACGCTGCCATCCATCCAAATACCCTCACTTCAAGCATGGGATTCCAGAGACGTAATTCTTTGATTGGTCTTCTATTGACGTGATAACGGTAACTAAATGTGTATATTTTCCAGTCAATGTGTAGAATGTGATTCACTTTACGTTTGTATATTTACAATTTACAAAATGCCTAAATATTTCAGTCATTTCCAAAGTGACTGAAATATATGTACATTTATTTGACAGAGTGACTACCAATTATTAAGAAGTTCAAAAGAGCTTAAAAACATCCACGTAGACCAATTATGCAAGGATTAGAGTGAGTGAGTGAGTTGGGTTTAACGCCGCTTTTAACAGTATTCCAGTTATATCACGGCGTGTCAGCTTAATGTGGGAGGAAAGCTCAAAGTGATGCAGGTCTCAGACGTTTACCGCTTTGGTGAAACCCACGAGCACGGGTATGGTGCTGACAAACCTAGAAACATAATCGGGGCGAACCGGGATTCGAACCCACAATCATATGTTTCTGGCGTGCCCAAGGGACGCAACTCTGCACAGCGAATCGCGGCGCCTTAGACGACTGGGCCACCCGTGCCCCCAAGGATTAGAAGCCAACACATAAACAGAAATATACACTGACTTTCGTTTCCTTTTAATCCTAACATTTTCAACCAATGGGTGAAATTCAACAAAACATGTTTGGAATTCCTTATTCGACTTTTATGAATATGGAAAAGGTTTATCTCTTTTATGATAATAATGAAATAAACGGGCAGATTGTTCTGTCAAGTTGTGATGACTGAAATATTTAGGCTTTTTGTAAATTACTTAAGTGACATTTGTAGTCAATTACACATTAAAGAATATGGGAAGGATTTTGTCGCTTTTATTTATTATTATATTTATGACTAGGTCCATTACGAATATTCACTAACATCAATATGATAGTTATACCCGCAGATCACACTTGACCTCTTCATTTTCCGGACAAAAACATCCATTACCTCTACAAGATTAAAAAGACATAACAGAGCAATATTGAAGCATATTTATTGCTAACACTTCAAACGCTCACAGAATATGGAAAATCCAAAGTTTTGTAGCAGCCATTAATAGTAATCACATGAGGACACGGGGCGTTATGGTTGCCAGTAACAAGCTGCCCGGAAACGTCACAGAGAAATAATAGAGAATGCGTCATCCATACAGTTGCATGTCTTCAAGAAATTACTTCCTGCAAAATCAGTTTTTTTCTCTTTCAGTCTTGCAATCAAATTATCTTTCAACTGAGGTCGAATGATTATCTATCAGTAAGATTGAAATAGATTTCCATGCATGCCATGAACTGCACCCTCTGTAATATGCTGGTCTTTCCTTACCAGCCATAAATTGAATCCTACAAAGAAACAGAGAGGGTTGTGGCATCAAATTTATTTCACAGCAGGAAGAAATCATGTGTTTATGCCTAAGCTGGGGACTAAGCTGATGTTGACCAATGAGGTTAAATGAACCTGACATGAATGCTCTACGACATATCTACAAGCTGAATTTGATCGGACTGTATGAACATGTTATGGCAAGCGTCTGTCATTATTGCCATCTCTACAATCGAGGAGAATCTTTTTACGACGAATTTAAACAGCTTCGAAGGACGCTTGTTCAAATTGTGTTCGATGGGGATCACAACATTCAAGGCCTTAGTTGTTGATGGAAGGTATGAGGACGGGCACTTGAAAATGTGACGCTTTGATAACAAAAATAGTGTTCCAACAATTCACTCTTTGTGTTCCCGTACTTGTTCAAGTCAACAATTGACTTGCCTTTGCATGTGTTTGTGACGGTAGCTTTTCGCGGACACTTGGTATCATCACTATTTGAATCGTACAATTGAACTGCTTTTAGCAGAGATTTATTTTTGCATATGGAAATAATGTCACCGCTTTCATTTACATATCACCATCACCTAAATAGTCACTCAGTCCACATTTGGATAAATTTTAATAAACTATATTTTGTAATATTTAAATAGGTTAAAACGACAATACCAAAAATATAGTTGTTTATTCTAAAAGCGGTTATACAATCCAATAACACTAATTATGGAACGTAGACAGCTTAGTGTCCATCGTCACAATAACGTAGTGCTGAGGATGGGAGTCCAAGTGACACCACCCCCTCCCCGTGCCGCTCCCTGCATCCTGCTCTGTCACCTGCCTTCACATAAAAGCGTTTCTAAACGCCCCTGAGTCCACTGCTGGAGTACTTGTGTGTTCTGATGTAATCGTCCACTGCTGGAGTACTTGTGTGTTCTAATGTAATCGTCCACTGCTGGAGTACTTGTGTGTTCTGATGTCATCGTCCACTGCTGGAGTACTTGTGTGTTCTGATGTCATCGTCCACTGCTGGAGTACTTGTGTGTTCTGATGTAATCGTCCACTGCTGGAGTACTTGTGTGTTCTGATGTAATCGTCCACTGCTGGAGTACTTGTGTGTTCTGATGTCATCGTCCACTGCTGGAGTACTTGTGTGTTCTGATGTAATCGTCCACTGCTGGAGTACTTGTGTGTTCTGATGTAATCGTCCACTGCTGGAGTACTTATGTGTTCTGATGTAATCGTCCACTGCTGGAGTACTTGTGTGTTCTGATGTAATCGTCCACTGCTGGAGTACTTGTGTGTTCTGATGTAATCGTCCGGGTGAACTTAGTCGTGAAACTACTCCCATGCTTCAGTGTGTTCTCAGTTAAGAGGAAAATGGGGCACTTGGGGGAAGTGCCCAAAGTGTCGTTTTTTAACAAAACATTAACTAATAGGTTTAGCAGGGCAACTGTGGGGGACATTTCCCCAGACGCTGAATCATTACATGAAGTAACAATGGCTTTAGGTTAAACCATGTAGGACCAACCAGACCTCACAGCTCATGCCTAATTAAGTTACATTAAGTGAAGTAAACTGTTCGTCTGTCATTCTTAGACCCATCAATTCCTCTCACTAACTCACTGTTTACTAGAAAATGTGCTTCGTGAGAACAGCTCCTTACAAGTCGCATTTCTTCAATTCGTTAATCTGCCCACAATCAACAGTTCTTGAAATATTGTGACCCAGACGATATGCCATTTTCACAATCAACCATGATTGACCAACATTTTTTGGACGCTAAGTAATCTTTCAGTGCGATTCCTTTCATGTTCTTGAACGTTACATGTCTCTCCCATCTGGTCCAGACAGTGTTGATATACAACTAGCGAGGGATGCCTTGACCAACAGTTTAACCA